AACACCTGTCTCTTGCTTGAGCAAATAAAAGCCACTTTTGGAAAACATATTTACCCATGTCTGTTTCAAACAGTGATTGGCCAAACCAAACGTCAGCAGATTTTCAAGTTCACATCATGAGCTGATGAAATCTGTGATCCTTCTATTGATGACATGCAGCCATCAAGACTTGGAAACACGTGATATTTGTATATCTTGCCTTACCACTGTCCTTCTATTTGCCACATTACAGTCAGGGAAGACTGCACTGAGCAGTGTGTTACCCTGCAGCTTGCTGTGGAGGGATCAGATTCAGCAGTTTTTCAGATTGCATTACTGGAAAATTACTTGCTTCCAGCTGAATGTTGCTTCCTTTCTAGTGCCTTGATAGCTGTCTCACTTTAGGAAATATTTTGCAGGTGTCCTTAAGAGCCAAGATCCTCTTTGCACAGAAAGTCTGGGAGTAGGTGTATAAAGTTGACAAAAATGCCTCTTTGCATTCAGTGGATGATGATTTACTGTCACTATGAGAACTTTAAAAGCAAAGGTAAAAAAGACTAACTGTTTCATATTAATCATTAACCAGAACCGAATCTTTTAAATATCATACCACTACAAAACCATGAGCATTTTTGTCAAACAAATTCAAAAATTTGAAGAGCTACTGGCATTGATGCTTTACACTCAATACACCTCCCAGTCTCCCATTCCTAAAAAAACGAAAACCCAAGAAAATCAAACAGAATGCAAGCAGCAAGTCAAGTAAACTTTAGTTTCTCCAGCTGAGGAGCAGGGATGCAAAAACTTTTAAGCTTGCTATAAATAATCATACCAGTGGTACTTCAGCCTATTATTGATTTTTTTCCAGCACAGGTACAGAATTTCCAAATTAATACAGCAATGAAAATATTTCCATGTATTAGGAGTCACATAAGTATTACAAATTTCCTGCTACCTACCCATAGACATTAAAAATAAAACCAGACAATTTTTTGCAGGTGGCAAATGAACTGGTTTACATTTGTAAAGTCCTAAAAAATTGCTATTTAGACACTGTAAATATTTATTTTAAAATATCAATAATCTGTATTTTTTCATTAGACCCTCCAGCTCCTATCAGTGTTTATGTAAAGGCATTTTCTCTGAAAAAAACCTAAGAGTTTTTCTCTTCTGTCATAATTTCTATAATATTTTATTAACAAAAGACACAACCAACACAACCTCACTTCAAGCTGCCTAGAAGCATTTGGAAAAGATTCTGTCTTTAATGGTGCTAAGGTGCCTGGTTTGGTAGAGTGGATACCACATGAGAGAAAGAATTGTTTTCAAAAATTTAAAATAAAAATGGTTTTGTACTTCAGAGAACTAGGGAAAGCAGACATGCTCATTCCCATATGTCTTCCTTTGAAAAAACCCTTAAATGGCTGACATATTTTACAGCGAAGTTGGTCTGATCATGAAGTGGCCAAACCAGAAGGAATATTTTCAAAATACAATTAAAATAGCCAGGCTGGAAGAATATAGAGCTTTCTCTGACCTGAAATTAAACTGGGCCCAAACTGGTTCTCTCCCAGATTTGCCCTGAACCAGGACAGACCCACATCCAAGAATTTTTATTTTTCCCTTCTGCATATGCCAAAGCAAATACTAACAGGACACTTCTAAACCTTCTTGTTGAACTGTTCCTGACTCTCTGAAGTGCCCCTAATCCAGTCCTTAAAAAAAAAAAAAAAAAAAAAA